ATAATGAAATTGGATGGATTTGTGTGCGTTGCATAGTACGAAGTATTAATCAACGGCGGGTGTCTCAAGCGAAGACAGCCTAGTTTGTTGTTAGACTAGCTGTCGTCTCTTTCATTCATTCTCGGCTTCGTGCACAGCAGTAGAATATAGACAGAGGGAAATTGATTCTCTATGCCTTCAAGCGTAATCGAAAGAGAAAGAAATGACATTCTTTAAATAAAAAAAAATAAAAGAGAAGACGATATTCTGTCGAAATGAACAAGCAGTATAGAACTTCTTTGCTTTTTTCTATTTCTGTTGCCTTAGGAAAAACTGTTCATTTTCTCTCGTAATACTCAGTAAGAGAAAAAGAAAAATAATATTACTATTCCACGGATCGTCTTTCTTTGTTTCATTAACAAACGAGAACAAGAGAGAGAGAGAGAGAGAGAGAGAGAGAAAGAGAGCAAGAAAAACGAGTTCTTCTCTTTATGTTGTCTTCTCGCTTATCCTTCTTCTTTTATTACAGTTGTTACTGGTAGAAAAGATACACGTCATTGTTGTTGTGATTATTCTCCTTCTTTACTTTTTTTGACATATATCAAGACACTATTGAATTGTGATCATTGACTATTAAGTATGTATACAAATAAATAAGTGACAAAAAAAGTTTCTTTCTATCAGATAAAATTTTTGATTTTATGTTTCTTGTTTTTTGTTAGTAATGAAATTGACCGATTCGTTCTATTACGAAGAAAGTCGTGGTCAATGTGGTCGTAAATTATTACGTGAAATTGGTGAACAACGTCGAACTAAAATTCATTTATACGCTTATGAAAGTTGGCCAAAACCAGCGCTTATTTCACATTGGACAATTAAAACAGTCTGGTGGTCAAAAACAAAATGTCAAATTATTGAACGATTGGGTCATCGAACAAGTATCACCAAGTACGTTATTGTCTTTTTTTTTTGTTCAGTGCACTTTGGTTTTTGCCACAAGATTATATAATGAAGTAAAGAAAAGAAAAGCATAATCATTTTTGCTTTTCATTCCCGAAGCAATCATGACCCATTTTCTTTTTATTTTAAATATGCGGAAAATTTTAGTAAATGCAAACGAATGCTTCTATAGTTTAATAAGTAAAACAAAATTTTATGTGAAATATATCTCCCTTTAAAAAAGTATTTATGATGTACACATCATTTTCAATGTCTAATGAAGGCTGTCATACATATGTAATGAACTTAATTGACCATTCGATAGTACGCCGAATCTTACAAGCTATTGATGATTTCCATCTGTAAATGTATGTAAGTCTTGAAAAGAACTATAATTAGTCGCATTACTCGACATTGTATGTATGTGTGACATGCAACATGCGCGCATATTACATCGGTGAGAATAGGACGAGGTCAATTCTTCTGTCATATATTTATACATAATGACAGTAACATGTAAAGTATGAGAATAATCATCAGCTTTTTTCTGTTCAAGTACAAATACGATTATATGGCATTACATGTTCTATATATGCACACATAAGTGTGATTGACAGACAATCATATTCCATGGTTCGTCATAGGGGAATTGAAAAAGAGAAAAAGATTCTTTTTGCTTTCCGAAAGAATTCGAATATCTCTACTGAATAATATCTCGTTTGTAAATTGAGATAGAGGAATATTTATTTATACTAAAATGATCAGCGACCAAATAAAAGTTGATCTACTCATTTGGTTGTCGATTAATCGTATTATAAACGCGAACAGCAGTATATTTTCTGCTTGATGGCTAATTTGATTTCATCTCGCAATAGTGCAAATGTTCATGCATTCGGAAAAAAAAAGAGAAAAGGAAATGAGAGTGATGGTCAATTTTCATCTTATTTTATTTCATGTTACAATTATTAATAAAAAATGTAATAGACGGACGAACGCAGGAAGCAGACATTAACATGCTGTGAACTAGTAGATTTAATGAGTTCGATATTACAAAGAAGAAAAAAAAATGTCTTCACGACTAGACGAGATCGATCAGATGATGAAAAGTTGTAGAAGGGTATAACAACGACAGCCGCGCGATAAACCGTCAGATACCAATTTATTATTTATTTGCGTTTGTCTGCAAAATATAAATCTCGATAAATATGCTTAAATAAACTGCGTAGAATAATGTAGGTTAATCAAAGAATTATAAAAATCTTTTTGTGCACTGAATAATAATGAATTCAGTCTATTAGCATAAATAAGTAGCAATTTTTTTTTTCTTATATGAATATTTATTAATTGTATATTACATAAAAATCTATTTATATTTTTAGAGGTCATATGAAATGTTTGGGTAATGGTCGTTTAGAAATAACTGGACAATTTCCACGTCATACAGATGCTTATTTTCGTCTTATTCTATCATCACAAGTAACTGATGATGATATATCTGATGGTTATATATTATCAGGAGATCTTGAACTCGGTGATACAAAAGATACAATGCAACAAAGTCATTTTGCTGTAGTAAAATTTGAACAAAAACAATATCAACATCATACACATACAATTACTGATTATTATATAAAAGCACGTCGTTTATTATTGCTTGGTTGTGTATAATTGATATAGTTTGTTTTTTCTTTCTTCTTCTTTCGACAGTGACCATTTACAGTGGTTCTTATACTAGTCAGTATTTCGTTTTTCTTCACTGTCTATTTGTTGTGGCTGATTAAATAATATTCATCTGTGTTCTTTTTCTTTTTCTTTTTTTTTCATTGAAATTCTAATAAAGAAAACATATAGATGGTTGATGTTGAGCGAATAGAATAATATTAAAAGAAAAATGCGAAGTATTACAAATTTCGGTCACTAAAAAAACAAAAATTTTTGTCCGACTTAATTGTCGACTTTTCTTACGGATTCTTACACATTGGAAAAGCATTTCAAAATGAAATAGAAAGAAATGAAAACAAGTTGTTTTTTTTCGTCATATTTAATAGCCCTGAATATTTTTTTATGATGCATGTAATTGTAAATGTTTACTACCCACTTTGTACTTAATAGTCAATTATTATAAATTGTCACGCTTTTAATTGCTGTCGAAGGAAACCAATGACGATCCTCGATAGTTCTAAATTCGGTACATTTCTAATTGGATGTTTAAAAATCATTGAAACAATATTTATGAGAATAAAAAAACAGAGTTGGTAGATGAAAAACTTAAAAGTCGAAATTGAATCAGAAAGGGTAAGTTTTTACATACTAGCACATATTATGTTAACATTCTAGCACCAACCGTTTTACTGAGTTGGTTCTCATTGGCTTATACTTTCTTATCAAAAGTATTTCACTATAAAGAAAGGCAATACAATGAATATATTGTTTAGCTAATAGAAAAAAAAGATACTTAGCATGGAATTCATTCACTAAACTTAAATTTCATTCACAAAAAAATATTAAAAAAAACAAAGGCTATATAACATCAATTCAATATTATTGTTAACAGTTTTCAATTTTTTCGAATATGCATTATTGCAGGTAGGTATGAATGAAGGAAAGACCTATATCCACATTTGTACTCTAATGAAGACACGATCCAATAAAGTTCAAATTTCAGGAACTTTCTTGACTTTTCAGAAGATAAGGCAACTCTGATAACAATTAAATGTTGAAGACATATAATACTCGTATCTCATGAGATGACTATATTCAATTGAAATTCAAGATCTATTCTACAACACGACTATCGATCTAATCGTTATATTCACTATTTTTATCACTATTTGTTCGTCATACTTTGTATTACGACTATTGAACTATTTATGTTTTCAATATACTATCCAGCGTGTAAATAAAACTTTTGGGGGAGTGACAGTAGATCTTCTTTTCATCTACCGAGTTTAAAATCGTTGTTTTTTTCGACATCGGTCGACCGATCGTCTTCGAAATTACGAAAAAATTGACAATAAATCGCTAGTTTTTGTGATTAATTATGATTCTTTATTACATTGATTATAGAGGCGATTTTCTTCATGTAATGCCAATTTCTACTGTTATACTGAAAAGTTCCTATTACTAATTTACAGTAATGCATATTTTTATTGAAAAATAAAGTATTTACATTATTCTACATGAATAAAGCATGTAATAAAAATACTAATTCAACATGTAATATTCCATAATTAACTGAGAACACGATTGAAAAAGAAAGAAAAAAAGCAAGTTCAGATGTATGACGGAGCATGAAATCGAATTCGTAATTAAAAACTAGCGCTAAACGGATAATGACAGAATATTTCATCTTAAAGAAAAAAAGTCAAACTTTTCAAATCAAGGATTGAGGAAAACATCGAAAACTGAATCTACAATTTATGTTTAAACTGAGTCTTTCTTTTTATTGCAAATCACCACGATTATAATCAAAAAATATTGTCTACAAATTATACTTGACTCTCAATTTAAGATAACTTGGAATATTTTTCCATCTAATTGGCTATTTGCAATAAGTTATTTGAAATCAGTGATTCAATACGACTATTCGCCAGTTTCTTTTAGAAATCGCCACGATTGTCACAGCACAAAGAATTTGGAAAAAATTAAGTTGTGACAAATCAATTGAAGAGACACTAATTGTGAATGAATTCTTTTTCTGTTTGAATGATGCATATAATTGATTTTTATATAAATAGAAAGGCATCTTATCTTAAACTTGCTTTAAAAATCTTTAGTACACGATTGTCTATTGAAAATAGTTAACAGATGTCGCTCATTGACAAGAACCACTTGAGGTTCTATTCATGAATTTTATAAAATATTCAAAAAATTGGCAAATTTTTCAATAATTTTTATTTTAAATTTTATTTAAACTATTGATCTAAGAAAAATTAAACAGTCAAAATAAAATGTTTAATTGGTCAAACAAAGAATTGTGTCATTCTCGGCCAACAATTACAATCATATTCTTATTTTCATAGTTAATTTCTTTCTCTTAAAAACGAAGAAATTTCAAATTTAACACCTAAAAATCAATTAACATGGGTCTAGGTGGTAGTAATTTAAAAATTCCAGGTGGTGGTACTGAAGGTTTTCACGTTCTTCGTGTACAAGATGGTTCACCTGGACATAAGGCTGGTTTAGAAGCATATTTTGATTTTATTGTTAGTATCAATGGTATTCGCCTTGATACAGATAATGATAGATTTAAAGAAGTATTAAAAGAAAATGTTAGTAAACCAGTTGAACTACTTGTTTATAGTAGTAAAACACAAACAGTACGACAATTAACATTAATTCCACATGAAAATTGGGGCGGTCAAGTATGAATTTTAAAACAAAAAAAAAAATTGTTTTTTCAAATTTTATTAATTTCTTTTTGTAATTAGGGTTTACTTGGATTAAGTATTCGATTTTGCACATTTGATAAAGCAAATGAAAATGTTTGGCATGTCTTAGATGTTCAACAACATTCACCAGCGGCATTAGCTGGTTTACGTTCAAATACTGATTATATTATTGGTGCTGATACATTATTAAATGATGCTGAAGATTTTTTTACATTAATTGAAAGCAATGAAGGAAAACCACTTAAACTTTATGTTTATAATAGTGAAAGTGATATGACACGTGAAATAACACTTACACCAAATGTTGGTTGGGGTGGAGAAGGTAGTTTAGGTTGTGGTATTGGTTATGGTTATCTTCATCGTATACCAATACGAACAGCAAGTGTACCACCAGTAACAAAAGGAAATTTACCAACAAATCCGTCTGGTATAAGTGGAAATAATACTTTTGATAAAACTCCATTACTTTCAACAATACCATCATCAAATCTCAATGGAAATACAAATATGAATTTTACACTTCAACCTATTAATATGCCACCAATAGGAGTTACAACACCAAATTTATTTGTTCCACCACCAGTTAATACAACAACAACAACAATGGCAAATGAGACAACATTAGCAACGACTAGTGGAGCTCAACCCACGACAATAAATGATCCCAATCAATTTGCTAAGTATGTTGAAAAAGTTTTTTTAAGTAGATTTTCATTTTTCGTGAAACACACGATCTAAAAAAAGTATAGAGGATACAGACCTAGCCTCCTTGCTTCGTACAGTGTGCATTTTTCGCCTGGTGGTAGACGGACATGTGACTTTCTTACTCAGCAATGATGTAAAAAAGAATTGCTGATAAAAAAAAGTTTTTCGACGAAAAATGACTGAGGGGAACCTTTACCCTAATTTTTCTTGAAAATTGTTTTGTATTATATATCATTTGATGCAGTTTAAGCCGCCTATTTCGGATATACTATTTCTGTCGATTAAATATTTTTTTCGAAAGTCGAAAAGAATAGGTTTTGTTTGGAAATTCACTATGCGGTCTAGGAATATTTGCACTAACGAGGGAACCACCCGAGGTGTCAAAAAGCTTTTCAGTCGGGGATATGATGGTTAGATAGGGCATAGCTAGGAGTGATATACCCTAAGTTAGTTCGTGCCCAAGTTGCTTCTAACAGGAGTTATGAAATGTGAAATTTAGGTATAAAAATGAATCAGGGAAGGTTTTCTCCACTATTGTAAGGACAAAACATAGTGTTATTCGGGCCGATTATGGGGTTTGTAGGGATCCTCTTTCATATGGCCCGAACAACACCATGTTTTGTCCTTATAATAGTAGAGCGAATTTTTTTGCTGGTTGATAGAAAAACGCCGTTTTCTATGTGCTACAGAAAAAAGTCTCTCTACTATTATAACGACAAAACATGGTGTTGTTCGAGCCATATGAAAGAGGATCCCTACAAACCCCATAATCGGCCCGAATAACACTATGTTTTGTCCTTACAATAGTGGAGAAAACCTTCCCTGATTCATTTTTATACCTAAATTTCACATTTCATAACTCCTGCTAGAAGCAACTTGGGCACGAACTAACTTAGGGTATATCACTCCTAGCTATGCCCTATCTAACCATCATATCCCCGACTGAAAAGCTTTTTGACATCTCGGGTGGTTTCCTCGTAAGACATATTAGAGACTGGATGGAATAAAACAATTTTCCTATCATTAGCTACATCGCACTTTACTTTTTTATTCCACAGGGATTGTTTTAACAGTTTTTTTTCTCTATTCAGATATTTTGGTGATATGGCACTGAATCCATCATCTTCTACATTAACAAATACAATATCAACAGCATATCCTTCAAATTCTGCAACATTTGTACCAACTTTTACTAACACTCAATATCCTCCTCCATCTCAATCTTCTGTTCAACAGTTAACAAATCCGGGTGCAACTGATCAATTACCATCTGTAGTTTCTCCTCCCGTAATGCCTCCATCTAATGTTGGAATGGCAAATCCTCAACGACAATCAACAAATCTAGGTCCAACTGAACAATTACCATCGATGATTCCACCTCCAATGATGCCTTCATTTAATTTTCAAATGCCAAGTCCTCAACAACAACAACACTATTTTCAACCTGTTCCTCCATCAATATTTACTGATTCTCAATATTATCAACAACAACAACCTCCTTTTCAATTTAATCCAAACAATAATACATATTCAAATACTTTTTCAGTTCCACCACCACCGACATCTGCTCAACAAGCATCATCATTTGCTTATGATCAGTCGCATGGTCATGATAGTAGCGGATATGGACATAGTCACGATTATGGCATGGGCCATGGTCATAGTCATGATCATAGTGATGGTCACGGTCATAGTCATGATCATAGTGATGATGGTCACGGCCATAGCCATAATCATTAATAATTGTTTTCTCATTTTGCTGAATAATCATGGTTATTTCAATTTTTAGTTCTCATGTGGGTTCAGTGCACTTTTATATGCTAACTTTTCTCTTCTTGTTTCTTCTTTTGATGTGAACTATCTTTATCGTTTTTGCTTTTAATTCTATTTCGAGCTAGATTTGTGTCCATTAGGTAACAAAGTCCTCGTTTCTTTTGTTTTTCTTTTTTGTTCGTCTTCGACTACATTTTGTTTGTTTTTATTGTTATTATATTAATCGTTATTAAACTTTACAAATACCAACTACATAAATTATTTTCCTTTTTTTTTTGTTTTCATTTAAGATCTTAATTCCAATGAAAAAAAAAGGCATATATACGAATAAGAATGATTTATTAAAATACGATGAATTTATATGAAAAAAGAACAACCAATCATCATTGAATGGCCAATGAAACTATCATTGAACAGATGATCATGCTACAGTTCAAAAAGGAGATTATAGTATTTATGAGGTAAATTTTAATAGACATTGGATTAATTTTTGTTTTTACTTTGACATTAATTGATGACAAATAAGCTCTTTTCATCGTATTTCCATGATTTCTCCCGGAAATCACCGATGAATAATACAAAGAAGAATATCTTAAGCGGAGAAAATCTTTCGCATATATTAATTTATGTTTAGGAATCACGAAACAAATTTATATATGTAAACTACAGGATGTTCCAAATTAACATAAATATCTCTTACCCTTCGAATAGTAGACTGATTCCCATCTGGGGTCCGTATGGACCCCAGCTGCATTATTGAATAGTGATAGATTAAATTTTCTTTGGGTTGTATTGTAGTTGTGTGAATCTTACACAGGATATCATTAGCAGTTGAATCAACAACAGAGCGATTTACCTGAATAGTGTTCATCATTTTATTCTTGTTCTCTTATCGTTGTCTTCATAATGTCTCAACAACTTTCAAAACATGAGTAAGAAATGATCTTGTGAAGATTTGGACAACAAGAAGCATGATCATTAGTATAATGAGTAGCAACTTTTCTATCTTATTCTCTTCAGCAATACAGACAAAGATGCTTTACACCCCTTCCAGTACTACGATAGTCAGTAAAATAATGATTATCAGTTCGAGTATTTGCATAGCTAGAAGAATAGATCGTTTAATTGCTTGTGGATTCTGACAACAATTACTCAGGCACACACCAATGAGACTGCGACCAAAAAAATAGCAAAAACAATGCTCATTAATATAATATTCCATCTTTCGAGGATTTTTTCTTATCCACGCAACAGAAGATGTTAAAAGCGTTCGTACCTATTAACCAAGGTATGGTCGTTTTACTGAATTTCGACGTAAGGTTTCCCAGATTGTTTCAGTAAGATGCACTATTGACAATTTTCATATTCATAGCTTATAATCTGTTATGTGTGCGATTATAACCCTTTTTTCTAATCTTAGACACAATTTAAAACTTTATCAGCATATTTGTGTATCATTATATTCAAAATTTGATGACATGTAGAAAATTGATAGTCTATTAGTTTTTTATTATCGATGACAAACAGAATCTACAGGAATGTCGCTATTTAGTTCAATGTCTACTTTCTTGATTAGAAAGATTTTCATATAAACAGAAATATTCAATACTGTTCTAAATAATTTACATCGATTGACATTCTAAAGATTAAAAATACTTAATATTATTGATTAGAAAACTTTTGTTGCTTATTATTCGATTAATATACGAAAACATTACCGTCACCTTTAGTTAAATGATAAATTAAGTATTTTTATCTTTATGTAATATCTCAAATTGATAAATACTCGAAAGTTATTAATACATGACAGAACCCTCTCGGATAAGATGACTGCTCTTTACTTTAAAAGTTGCCTGTCCTTTTTTGCAGAGCAACTCGTATCTCATCGAATGGCATATAGAAAATTGCTTATTCATCAAAATTCTATGTTCTGAGAAGTTAGATATCAATTTCGGAATATTCTAGCGATTGTGGATGATATGGCCAAATATTACGACTCAATATGTGTCCAAAACAACCTATATCAATTTTTTTAAAGTTACTTGAATAGACTATTGTCTTGTTTTCAATAGCTTTCTTCGTGTCTAAAATCTTGACATTTCTATTAGGTTCTGTAACTTTTGGCTATTATGACATTTTAAATTCTTCGTTACTGTTCCCTAGGACAAAGGCGAGGAAGCGTGCAGTTTTCTCAGAAATTACAGAAACTAGTAAAGATCTTCAAGTTTTGAGTGCGAAGAAAGCTAATGTGAGTATTATGAAATGTATATGATTGAAGACGAAATCAAACTCTTTTGAAGTAACTTCAAACAAGATTTAATAATGGCTGGTTTGAAGACATATTGAGTCCTAATATTTGGCCATATGATCTACAATCGCTATTATATCTCTTAACTGATATACATCTTCTCAGGACATAGAAGTTTGATGAAAAACAATTTTCTATACAGGATATTTGGATTCTTTTTTTCTTTTCTTTAAATTAAAAATACCAACAAGTTGAAGTAAAATATATGAACTAGAGTTATTGAAAGCATAGTGTTTACTTACACTAATAAAAAACTGAAACAATGAAAACTCTCGAATTAAATAGTTTCTAATCGTAATTTTGTGTAGAAAAATAAGTGTTTTTCACGTTGAATATCCAGGATACTTAAAATTATGTTATCGATAAACATACTGTGTTTAGTGTTTCTTCTTTCTTGTTAATCACTTTTGAACAATGTTAATCAATTTCTTAATAAGTAATTGAAATCATGGTATAGCTTAAATATACTAAATCATGTCAGATAATAGAGAGATTCTTCATTGTGCTTTCCAAAAAAAAAACTAACTTAGTCTTTATTCGTGAATTTTAACAGAGTTTTACATAGTATTATTCATGTTAAATATCTGCTTTTAATAGTCTTCATACACATGAACACATTTTAATGACAAAATATTCTTCTACTTCTTTCTAATATAACGAATTAACTTTACTGATGATTTCTGTAAATAATTTTCTTTCCGTCATGTAACCTTTCACAATAGTTAATGACAAAATTGATCACCCATAAAAGAACTTATCCACACAATCTTTTTTAAGACTAAAATGCAAAACTTAAACTCTTCATAGAAGCTAGAAAATAATTTGGTAGAGGCATATTTTATGTCTAATAAAGAATAATCTTACGATTGAACTCAGTGAAATAAAAAGTATTAAATAGTGATCAATACAGTATTTGTTTCTACGACGCGATGATCTATAAAAGGACATGGAAGTCGAAAAACATTGTTTTACAGTTATATTCATATTTTAATATATGATTGCCACAGAATTACGCATACTTGCTTAAATCGAATTGCATGATGAGTCAGATATATTTCGTAATAGAATGAAATTTACGAAAGCCGTCAGTGTTCTTGTAAATTTCTTTTTCTTTTGCTAATGCTCCTTTTTGCCTGTTTGCATGTTACTTTCAACTATACTTACTTTAATTATTTTACATTATGAGGGAAGCCCTTCAACTTATAAATCGTTTTTAAGTTGAGATAATGTGCATTATGCAGATTCAAATGAATTATGAATACTCTAAAAAGAGTTCGTGTTCTTAACTTATTACTGCAGAAATACTACAATTTTATGGAGTGCACACCGTGATCATCCTCAGAGCAATTGATTTTTCACTTGAAACTTTTCATAGAAATCGACCTTAACGAGAATAGTTTATTGTCATTGTTACAGACTTTTTCACGGTTTCTATTGCAGTCGTAAGATACAACAATAGTAATAACATGTCTTTTACATTGCTCATAGTATACTGACCCATTTGATGTTCTTATTTCAGAATAGGGGTCAATCGAAAGAAGTAAACCTTTCACATAAACTATTCTCGTTAAGGCCTATCTTTATGGGTTAAAATTCAAAAATCAGTTTTTCTGAGGGTGACCACGGCATTCATTTAAAAAAAAATACCGTAAAATTTCAATGTCTCCACAGCAATAAGCTAAAGACATAAACTCTTTTCAGCATATTCATACCTCATTTGAATCTATTTAATGCAAATCGTCTCAATCCAAAAGCAATTTATCATTTGCAAAACTTCACTAGTTCGTATTACGAAAAAAAAATACATTCTCATTGTATTCACTTGTGATTACTTAATGTGTCTTCGACCAGTTGAATAATAGTTTTCTTTAGATCATTCAAAGCATTTATACGATTACTGCATCGTACTCAAATTCCAGTCATACAATTATGGACTATTCATTATGTTTGTAATGCAGATCATAAATAAATGGAATCAACCAAAACAACATCGTACGACATTTGTTTCGAAGAAGTATGATACATTCGAAAATTAAATTTGAATCAAATATCATCTGATCGTTGTGATACATTTATAACTTAATTCTACATCTGCGTTTGATTGTTAATATTAGTTTCTTTTTAATACAAATATTTATTCACTGATTTTTAAAATAGTATACAATGAATTATTTGTGTCGCTTTTTTTTTAAATTTTTTCTCTCATTTCTTACGAAAATCATATTACGTTTATTATTTGTTTCAGTTTATTAGGAAAAAAAATATAGAAAATCGTTTCCTTTTTGTTTTTGTAGATATTAATATTCATCATGGCATCGCGAGGTCCACCAACGAAAGTTCAAAAAGTTATGGTTCAACCAATTAATTTGATTTTTCGATATTTACAAAATCGATCACGTATACAAGTTTGGTTATATGAACAAACAACAACACGTATTGAAGGTTATATAATTGGCTTTGATGAATATATGAATCTCGTTTTGGATGATGCTGAGGAAATTTTATTAAAAAAAAATACACGAAAGAAAATTGGTAGAATTTTACTTAAGGGTGATAATATTAGTTTAATTCAACAAATACAACCGACTGGAACACATACTTAAAATCAAGGTCAAATGAGTGAATGAAAAAAAAATGAAAGAAAAGTTTATTTGTGAGT